GCCAAAAAGCAGGACACATTTTATAAATTAAGTGTCTTCTGCCACTTTTACAGTCACTTCTACAATTCTGGAATTAATTGTGATTTTATTTTTTTTGTGCAGAAAGACAAATCTTAATTTGTTACAGGGCAACAGAGCTCATGACTCAGGAGTCAGTTCATCATCACTATAAATGTTCAGCCCTGAAACAGCCCATGTTCCTTTTCATGTCCGTGAATGACAAGTGCCAACTTTACTAGAGAAAGCTTTCGGATCTTTCTTTGGGTCAGTTTTGCCCTCAAATGTCTTGTAGGTTTTCTTTTTTTATTAAGTCGTAGGAAAACGGTCTTGTGCATCATGCTTTTAGAGAAACCGTTTTCAGTAATTTGTGCACATTCCCTATATAAAAGTAGTTGAAAATACATTTTTAAAGTTTCATATTAATGTATTCAAGGGAACATAACTAAATTATGAGATGTGAAATCAGCAGATAGTCCAAGGCCAGATTTTGACTGTTTGTTTTGCGTTGCTAGCGTGGCACACCCCACCCCAAGAACCTAGAATTTCAGAAGTGGTCAGTATCTTTGATTCTCTTGCAAGAAAACCAAAAGGTTTAATCCTTCTCTGTGCCTTCTGGCATACTAAAACTATAGTAAATCTTCCTACAGCTACAAAAAGCAATGCTGCATCTAGCATTTCCAATGGGAGAAAAAAAACCCAAGCCCTTTCAGAGCTGTTCAAGAACTTCCCTCTCTGACAGAGTCCTGATGCTGCTATTGTTTTCACTCAAACTCAATTGTGATTTGCGTCAATGAGACTTTGAGGTGTACTTTTTTTTTGGTTGCAAATAAGAGGTGATCTCAGATAAGTAGGTCTTTTGGTTCTGTAGACATCTCAAGACTCCTGACAGGGAATGAGAAGACAGCATTCCTTAAAGGCCTCCAAATCCTGGAAGCTGTGTGGATTGTGGGAAATCCACTAGAAATCAGGACTGTCTGCAAATCTTTGGTTTCTCAACCTTCCGTCAGGCAAAGTTCCACCGGTGTCAGCAGTTACCAAGGTCTCTGCAGCAGCAGCAGCGTTGCCAACGTGAAAGATGTAAAAATCAGTCTTTCCCCATCTCTTCTCTACCATTTGCCCTGATGACAAGGTTGCTATTTTAAAAATTTATCCTTTTGGCTCTTCTATTTGCCTTCTGGTTTGTTTTTTTTTTTTAAATGGGAAGATGGACTTTCTTCCTGTTCTAAAGCAGTGACTAGGGCTAAGAACTTGCCTTTTTTAATAGTTCTCACATGTTCAATTGAACCTACACAACTCAGTAATACCTATTCTCTCCTTTTTTAGGTAACCATCCCACTACATTGGGGATGGTCACCAGAGGGACTTCTGCTTCTGACTCCCCAGAAAATGAATGGGAGAAATAATACAATGTCCTTCTCTCCATGGCAAAAGGCCCAAGACCATCAAACTTTGTGGAAATGCAGATACCCTGGCTAAAAATAGTTTGCTGAATACCATAGATTACTTTTGGTTTTGGCAATAGAAACACCAGACTTCTGGTATCGGTTACCCTCCTTCCTTTTACACAAGTCAGCGTTAGAGCATTTATTCAGGATGCTCTATTTCCTCCCTGCCTATGGGGTTCCTACTGATACCTACTGGTAGAGAGTCCCAGCTACCAAACTACTGAGGTTCTGGTTTCTAGCCATTTGTTATTTAATTATTTATACAAAGTGAAAACATTTTAAGAGATGAAATCTGTAATAGCCCTCCTTCAGGAAAAGGATAGATACAGTAGTATTGTAGAAGAAGGAAATACAGGGTGGGATCCCTTGGAACTGATGAAGAAATTGTCTTAGTACATCCCACAGCCCAGGAGAGAGCTCGGATCTCTGAGCTGCATTGCTATCAGGTAGATTAAATATAATTTGTGTACACTTACATATGCTGTAAAACATGACACTGGCACAGTCTGCAAGCCTGGAAGTATGAGGATTAGCTCCACCTAGTCTGCTTTCAGACAGGGTTGTGTTTCACTTAGATTTTACTGGCTGGTGCTAACACAGGCAGTTCTGCCAGAAAAGACAGATGTCCTGATGTAGAGTAACTTAAAAACTGGAAAATAAGTCAATTAAGACACAAGAAATCTTACAGTAATTGATACAGTTCTTTCAACTTTAGTTTGCTGTGCAAACAAAGAGTTAAACAGTTCAAAGGCAGTTTCCTTTGGAGAATGTTTATTTGATCAAGTTCAGTGTGGCTTAGACCCCGAACAGAAATACTAGCTTCAAACAGAGCACTACTATGAAAGTAGGAATGGTCTGTGGCCTTCCAGACCTCACAAGCTATGTTGGTTTGTTACACAGAGTCAAAACAAAGATGTCCCTTAAAACACATATACATTAACTCTGTGTATTTCACACACCACAATCTTTTATCTCAGAACTGCTTTTCTCCCCAGTCATTGGGGCTGTGCCAGAGTCACTGAGATCCTGGATGAACTATAGACTTCTCAGTAAAAAGCATATATGGTATGATTGGACCATCTGAGCTAATTAGATCATTAGAGAACAGGCTTTAAGTGCTACTGCTCCTATTTGCTAAGCTTGAAGAACTACTTTTGGATTTTGGAACAGTACTGTACTTTGCTTCTTGAGTCCCTTTACATTGCAGAAAGCAGGGTGAGGAAGAACTCGGTGCTTCTCTTTTAAATGGAGCCTGGAAGATCTTGTTAGCTGGAGGGTGTTGGTTTTTTGGTTTGTTTTTTCAGGTCCTTAGCTGGCTGAATCTTCAGACTTCTAATAAATACGCTAAGCATTAAAAAAGCATCATTAATACATGATGAGATATGCCACTTAATGTAAGTCAAACCCATGCAGATGCTATTAGGACAGGAACCTGATATCATGCCAAATCCGGACAGTTATCTTTGATCTATCTCCAGATCCTACTTTTATTTGTAAACATCCAGTTAATCACAGACTTCCTCTGACTTTTATGAAGTGGACGAAACTGCATCCTTTGTAACATCTCTGAAGTGCTTTAACTTTGCAGATGTTCCTGAATTTGTGTGACGGGGAGGTATGAGCTCCATCTGGTGGCTAACTAGAAACACGCATATTTCTATTTATTGAGCGGCGTTAACTGTGCAGAGTGAAGCAGATCCTCTTGCAGCTGTACATTCCTAAAGCAACTTCTGTTTTTAGGGTAGCTGCAGGATTTTAGAGTCTGGGAGGAGGTCATAACATTTTATCTGTAATCTAGCTTACTGTGGGCTAAAATTACCAATGCCAGCAGTTCTCTGGTGTTCAGTTCCGTATGTACACCACCACAATTGGCACTGATTAGCAGTATTTTTTCAGAATCATTGGAAAAATTTAATTTCATATTCACAGGCAACCCACCTTCCCACACTCAGAGGTGGTCCCACACAGCATAGTCAGTGTATTTGAGGGCGGTGGTGTAAAGAAGCTCAGTCATGCCACATGAGCTGTGGATGATCTGCAAATAACAGAGATCTTTGACTGTAAAATGCAGGCAGGCATGTAAATAAATGGTGATGTTAAACACTGTTGTTCCCTGGGGAAAAATAATGTTCATATGCATACTGTAGTTAGAATACCTTTTTTTCCTCCTCTGTTAGTTTACAAACAAACAAAAAAGGCATTTCCTGACTAGCTAGTCAAGTAAGAACTACTTTGAGATAACAGCATCAGTCCAATGAATTCCCCTCCAAGATTCAAAGAATGTATTAGGTAGATACACGGACTTGCTGCCAGAACCAGCAGTACTTTGAAGCTAGCGGTTTGCCCAAGACCTGCTCCCCCATGTTCACATCGCCCTCCTGGCATGAAACAAAAGCCATTTGTCCCAGATGATTGCTTTTTTGCCTGCCATGAAGTATGTGACATGGCACAGAAGGCAGACACAATATACAAACAATTCTGGGCCTGGTGTATGCTGTCAGGGCCTGGCCACATGTCACACAGGGCATTCTGTAATGTGCGTTGAAGTGTGGAGTACCGCTCTGAAGGCTTTCCTCTCAAAGGTGTGCCAGGAAATTCAGCCCTGAGCTGGCCTTGACTTTTGAGCAGGTAAGTAATGCAGACAGCTGATAAACCTGGCTTCACATGCAGCCTTGAAGCCTTGCCTGCTCTGCAGCGTAGGCAAAACCACTTGGTCCAGGGCTGCCACAGTGCGCATAGAAACATCAAGTGTAAATTAGCCAGAAGCGGGGCAATCATATACTTTGTACAATGTGATTTGCGTATCCAGAGAAAGAAATCAGTCTTTGAAAGTTACATCCACATGTTTCCAGTTTCTTGACTGTTCATATCAGATACAAAGCTGCTCCTATTTGTTGTAAATTAGTTTGCTTGAAAGAGACTTACAGGAATTGTAAATATTTATATAATTTATTTGCATTTAACATAAAATAAGAATTTGAGGAGGGAGGTTAAGTAAATATGTAACAGTTACCTCTGAGTTAGGCAAGGAAAAAAAATCAGCACAATCAACAGAAGCAAATATGAAGCAGTTAAGAAGTATTCCAGGGTGAGGGTGTTCCAAGCTGTAAGTCCAGGCTGAGGAGAAATAATACTCGTGCAATTTTTTGAGCATCCACTAAGCCAAGCCATAAACCACTGCTGGAAAGTAGCACATACAGTATCAAAAATAACTTCTGAGAGGCTTGGGAAGTGAAGTTTTTATTCAGCAAATCTTTAGCTGTTTTGAAAATGGAAGGCAAAGGAGAAAGAAACAAAAGTTTCTCAAACAAGATCAAAACATTGTTTAAGGTTAAGTTGTGTTTCGGTGGGGTAGGGGTTGAAGGAAATGAACTGTATGGTTTTTAAACAGAGTTCCTGGCTGTGGCGGGTGCTCTGAATATAACTGAAGGATGGGTATTTAAAGCAAAACCACACCATAGTGAGGTGGGAGGGACCGCATCATGCTAGCAAATATACTGGAGTGTGGGCTTCTGACGTTTAATATTTTTCTTGCATTTCTTTTCTGCATGGCAGTAGTGAAATAGGGACTTCTAAGCTTCTGAACAACTGAGAGAACCAGGTTTGAAGAAGACATGAGGAAGAACTGGTCGGCAAAAGATTTCATAAAAACTCAGAACCGCGTGTGCCAGATCAGAATTGGCACCACCTTTGCTTTTTTGACATACTGCAGCAGTCGCAAAAGGCACCAAACCACTCAAATTAGAACATGCAGTAAAAGTTGGTTTTGGACTCTTCTCTGTATTATAAAACATTCTTCCTTGTGACTATTATTTACACCTGTTACAAACAATATTTGAAGTCTCCTTTCATGGAGCAAACAGCTGAAAGAGGCAGATGCCAGGTGTTAAGGGCTTCACTGAAATGAGTTTGCAGAATTTGCTATTCATGTGTTGGATTGCTCCTTTTCTGAAATGAGGCTTATTAGAGTTTCTGTCAAAAAACTGTTTAGATCTTTTAGTTCAAATATTAAAGTGTATACTCATGAACTAGAACTTAATGTATTTTCAGACAGTTGCAATGCTAAACTATCAAGTGTTAAAAAAGAGAAAAAAAAAATTACCTGGAGTACAAGGTGAAAGAAAAATCGTAAAAACTGAGGACAGTGGGTCCCTGAGGAAGGACAGGATGGTGAGAAAGATCCAGCTGACCCGATTCCCCCGCTGCCATGATCATCATTTGCAAGCTGAAGAGGACCTTCCATGGAGCACAGTGCTTGTATGTGGAGAGTAAAGACATGGTGCTCTGGTCTTATTGCAAGAATGGTGAAAAAAAATTGCCAACAAGGAGATGAGTAAATGTGAAATAATCTTCACAGGGAACAGGGTGCACTTTGTTCTGGATCTAAGCCTTGCAAAAGCTGGCTTGAAGAGGAGAATCAGGCATTCATGTTCAGATTTGAGCATTTTAGGAATCCTAATGTTTCCAGCTAAATTAATGGGGAAAAAAAACCCTAACCAAAAAAACCAACAAGGCACTAAATGTTTCAAATTAGGGCCAGCATGGATTAAAAATATACTAATTTCTTTTGCTTCCCCCAAACAACAGTGGCTCAGATTGAGACATGTAAGCAGACTAAACATGCTGATCTATATTCTGCTGTAGTTACGCATCTTACTAATTCTACTCATGACTATAAAAGGATGTTTCATTGTTCAGTATAACTGTTATCTCAAGAAGAGTCTGTCTATAATTTTACAATTGGCATAATTTTCATTACTGTTGTTATGAAGTGTGTAAAATATTGTCTGTATTGCAGCTTGTATAGGGCATGTGCCTGTGCTTGCTTTACTCTTTTTGAGTTTATAAAGTTGCTATGCAAATGCAAGAAAAGATTTTCAGGTATCTTTGAATGTGGTTGCTTAATCTAATTACATAGTCCCAAACATTTCAGCATATAGATGTTGAAGGTATCGGCTCTATTAACACATAACACCTTAAACATTAATATAGGCATTTTAAAATCCTTCAGTGCATTGGAATGCTGACACTTCTGTCCCAGCAGCTGTGTTGGAGCAAAGGGGAAGACGGTGAATATCTGGGCAAAGCCAGATACCACTGGGGACTCCGCAGGGAGAAGGCACAATATAGCTGGGAAGTCTAATAGAAAATGGGATGTCCTTTCCATAGAGAACAGGAAGGACCTTCACGGTAGGACCACCACTGAGCAGAGGAAAGAAGGGAAATATGTTTACAGCATCACCTAAAGACAGGCCTTCAACAGTATACTGAGCATAGGACATCTAGAACAGGCTGTGACTGTTCTGTAACTTAGCATTATTTGTAGTCTGTGTAGAGTATCAATGAAGACATTCCAGGTTAGTTTTCATCATCTTTAAAGCTTATTCTGTGCTTTGATACAGTATCTTTAATAAAATATTCTTACAAATCTGCTTATTATTCTCATTTAATTCCATCTTATACCTGAGTTAATAACAGTCCCGGCAACAGTGTGAAGTTCCAGTTACCACCTGCTTCATCTGCTCCTGTGTTTTTGCCATTCACCTGCTAAGAGTGACAAGAGGGAAAACTGAGATAGGTAAAAATCAAATGATAGAAATGAGAAAATAGGATAAATTTATAGCACCACTACAGTTCAATAATTATAAAAATTCTTCACACTAACTATTTAAGTGAATCCAAGAGATTAATCAAATTATATTGATCTCTGAGTACGAAGTATTGGTCTTTGCCTGTGTTTACAGTACACCATTTCCCTTGTTTAAGGCTTATCATAATTTTCCAGCATTACAGTTACTGCCAATATGTTGTTTAACCCTATTCACAGCAGTTCTAGACAAAATTCTCTTAATTTATTCACCACCTGGACCATATGGAGTATCCTTTTAATACCTTCAACAAGACAAAGCAGAGTTTAAGTATACTAGAAGATAAGATGAGAATTCAAAATAACCGTGGCAAGGTGCAGACACGATCTGAAAACATAAGATGCTATTTAATAGGAACAAGTGCAAGCTGGAATCTTTAGCTGTACAAGTAAAAGAACAGCTGCTTAATTTCCATTTAAAAGATTCAGTGTGTTATTTTGGATCAAATTCTGAAAATGAGTCTGCAACATCATGCTATTGCACATAAAGGTAAAACCTGAAATGTCTAAACTGGAGTATAATCTGCTCCTTCAGAACTGCTAAGGCGTGAGCTAGCAACGTCTCCAGTTTTGATCATGGCACTTGAAAAATAAGATACAAGTTGTGTGCAGACAATTCAAGAGAAAGCAATGAGAATGCCTAGAAGCCGAGAAAACTTTGCCTTTGAGCACAGACTGAATGATTTTAGGTCATCTTACAGAATAGACAGTAGAGGGGAAACACGATGATTTTCATATATATAGAAGTTAGTTGCAAAGAAAAATGGAATCATGTTTTCTTATATCCCCGATTGATAAGAATAGAAATAATTGCCTTCAACTACAAGAAAGGAGATTTTGGTTAGACACAAAATGAGACTAAATGACCTATTGAGGTCCTTTTCTGATCTGATTCTATGATTACTTGCAAACGCTGCTTTAAAGTCTCTTATTTATTAGTGTCAGAAGAGCTGACACTGGGTGCAAGAAAGGAGGCGGCAGTTATAGCAAAGTAAAGAACTGACTGCCTAAAAAGCACAGTACACCAGTTTACCTAGTTAGCACTAGTGATACTAACCTCAGCTTTTAATCACGCCTTAGCAAACAGTCAGAAGTCTATGTAAATAAATGTGCTTTAAAACCACTTAATTATAAAATAATCATTCCTTGAAACATCAAGCATTAGTTTAATCAGTGTTGACAACTTCCATGATTTTATTAGTCTAAGCAATCTGAGGCAACCTGGGTTTAGTTGTGTGATGGTGTAATCAGCTATTTTATTTATTTAAAAAAATTAGCTCTGCAAATTACATGGAAAATCCTAAAAGTGTAATTTGAACATAGCTAAAGATCAAAAAGCCAGAAGGTGAATAAAGCCACGTGTGTTTTTTAAGCTCATAATTTTAAACTAGGTTTATAATTTTAGGAGATCTGACTCATGATTTTTGAACTTCTGGTTTGGCAATACCAAATTACTGTGCCCTATATTCTGCTGTTCTGAATATTTCCATATTACTGATCATGCATTTGCATAATTTGCTGAAAACATGTTATACTGATTTGCAGAACTTTATTTTGTTATTCACAAAAACAAAAGAACACTTATTTAAGAAAGATCATGTATTATGGCTGCCTTTCAAATTAACAAGGACTATCTGTGTGCAAAAAGTGGAGGCATATAAAACCAAAATAACACAAAAAAGTTACCTAGTTCCCCCCACATAGACCGCAGGTTTTCACACAACAGCACCTTGTCAGAACAATCTCTTGTCATTTGATACACCGGTAATTCTTGTCTTAATTCCAATTGTGAGACATGTATTCACAAATATAAACGAGATGAAGAGCTGTTGCTTAGACTTTTCTGAACTGATTGCTGTATTATAATTCATTTATCTGCCCCAATACAATCTGATTTATGCAATTTTCTGGATAGTTTTACTAGGGAAATGGATACTAGGAAAATGGATATGAGGGAAATGGATACCAGAATTTAATGTCTCAGATCTTCTGATCATCAAACCTGAACAGACCATTGCATTTCAATGTTATCATTTTAATGATCCAAGTGGCTGATATCTGAACTGCAACTTGCGTTCACTCTTATTTTTATACTACATTGCCTTATGAAATATGGGGGGGGGGGGGGATCTTCTTTTTTTTTTTAAATAAGTGGGGGGGGGGGAATCTTCCTTTTATTGAGATAAAGATAAGGGTTGAGTTTTCAGTTCTGCTCCAGATACTGAGCTCTTGCGTCACTGAAGAAATCTAATACCATCTTCATTTCTGGGTGGGTGGTGTAATGCAGAATAGCCTACAGCATATTACATAATGCTGCCAAACAAGAGACATGGGTGCATTATCGATCCTAAACACAAATAGATGGATCAGGAAGAGGCCTGCTAATTCCAGAAGCACCAACTTGCTCCTCTGGAAGTTACTATGAAAATAAGACTTACAGATTCAGGATAGGGGAATAACAGTGAATGTTTTGTTAAAGGGAAAATCAAATTTGTGCTGAAGTCCTCACCATAAAGCTCACTCTTTAATTTCTGAGCCAGTCTCTTTGGCTCACCTGTAACATGACTGCATATGGAGCAACATAAAAGAAAATCATGTGGCTCTTCCCATATGAGAGGATGACTGCATAGATGAGTTGTTTCACAAATTGTGCTGCAAGTCTTAGAGAACTGCTGACAAAAAGCAGGCTTGTCATAGTTCTGCTGAGAAGAGAGAATAAGTCTAATGAGGTTTTAGAGGTTACTCCCTCTAGTCAGACTGGACTTTCTCTAAGGACATCAGATGATGGCAAGAACATCACGTGAACGTCTGATTAGGAACAAAAGCTTAAAAACCAACTCAGGCCTATACATATCGTTGTACAAGAAGAAAACAGCACCTGCATGCTCAACTGGAAAGGAAATACTTCTGCAGCAGGCTAAATGAAATATTCAGTAGCCTGAGTTTACACAACTTTTGATTTTTTCCTGAGAATGGCCACGAGTATGTCATTTACAACATTAGTATTAAAATGGTATGCTCCTACATTCCTCCATGATCTTTTCCCCAAATTTACTATAGCAAAACAATTCAAATGATGAAATAAATAGGACTGAGGGAGTGCTATCAGGCTAAGCAGTAATGCAAACTCCTCTTTAGCAGGTTATCAGCACGTCCGGATATCAGCACAACCATACCAGGACTGTACTAGTTATCTGGCTAAGGAAACCCCAAACAAGTTTTGTCTGGAGATGTTGTACATATTTTGTGCCTGATACAACATACAGCTAAAAGCTTTGGGCCAAATTAATGAAATGTCACTTCTAAATCTGATAAAACCTGTTTGATTACAGGTACACTCAAGTGACATATCAAGTTAATTTTGCCGCAAAGACTGCTTATTGTGCTAATCAATACTGTGTTACTTCTTAGTCCATTTGTTCTATTTCTTGTTTCTGTACATATGGTTTTGAGGCAGAAATCCTCTTTTTACTCTGAAATAACAGGGTCTGAATTTGTACTGCAGCTATTAAAAACACAGTTCTCGTGAATTACCAGTGGTCCTAAGGGACAATCCTCACAAGGATACAAATTAACATAAATAACATCAACTTTTCAGCTTAAACTGAA